TTTACGTAAATTTAAGTTACAATTATATTTTAAAACATGTCAAATAAAAAAGTGTTTCAAAATGCTTTGTCATTATCACAGGTACTTAGCAATAAAATTTTAAATTTGTTTACATTTGCAACTTTGTTACAGTTTATGACGCGCCAAAAAGTTTTAAATCTTTACAGAAAATTCTTTCGAGTAACTAAAAACTTGGCAGATGATTCACAAAAACAAGAACTGCGTGATTGGGTAAAATCTGAGTTCAAAACTAAAAGTAAAATTACAGATAAGGTTAAATAATTACTGATGTTTAATTTGTTATACTAACACACTTGTTTGCTTTAAAGGAACTTATTGAAATGCATCTAAATAATGGACAAAATTCACTTCGTGATCTTGAAAATTCACTACGCCACGCTCATGCGTTTAAAAGTTAGTTAATTTAAACACATTTAACTTTGTTTTGTGTAAAACTAGTAAATGCTGTATTGTATAAATTTGTAATATAGATAGTTTATAATCCATTTTTAATTTACAAAAACAAGTAAACATTTTTTTTTGAATCTTTGAATAGTACTTAAGTTAAACGTCTAAAAATGTGCTTATTTACATATAATTATTAAGTAATTTCACTTTGATGCGTGTTGTATGTGCCAGTGTTGTGTGAACGTGATAATGTTTTTGTTTTAGCAAGTTATCGAGCGTCAAACAGATGGCAATTCATTCTAAACCATCTGATGGACTTTGTTGTGTTGTAGTTGGCTAGTTTGTTAGCACTATCAAGTGCAATCGTGACAAAATGCATTGACAACTATGTTTTTAGTAGTAGTAATGATAAAGGAATTTGCAATACACAGACACTCAATGACAACAAACTTTCCATCATTTCAAGCCACCTAGAAACACTGATGAAAATAAGCCTTTGCCTTGAGTGCACACCTAAACCTATTGTTAAGCCCTTTTGTTAGTTGTTTACATTGGTCCATCATTGCCTTACACTACTAGCATTCTGAAAGTCTATATAAATCTGCATATTTAGACACTGTGCAATCGAAAGACCACAGTGACACAAAAGCACTGTCTGTTTGCCAAGTACATCGTCAACAAGTGCTTCAACTTGGAGTTGAGTCAAAGCGTCAACTTTTCACTTTTTTGGTTCCGAAAAAAAGTTATCACTGAGCAGCAGCTGCTCGGTGCATCGCGTGATAAGACAACGTGCGCTGTGTACTCAATTGCCGAGAGACCTCTGGTCAGTCAGTGTCAGTGGCTGCCGATGCTGCCTAATCACTTTCACCCTCACCGTCGTTGTCGCCGTCGCAGCTTTTGTCTGTCTGTGTTTGCCCGTGTTAGGTGTCAATCAGTCAGTAAGTCAGCTAGTCAATCAGACAGACTTGACCGTTGACTAAGCGGTTGGCGTCGACTTTTCTAGACAGTCTCTGCTCTGCTCTGCCCTGCTGACTCGCCGCCTGGGCGCTGGCGTTCTTCCGTTTGACCCTTACTTAGTAGAGCCGCTGGAGCGCTGGTGTCTTCTCTCGGGCGCACTTTCCTAGCAGACAGCCGTCATTCGCCTCGCTGCCTCCGAGCCGAACGCACGGCCGATTTTTCCTTGCCGTCGGACTTTGAAAATTTTCCGTCGCTCGCTCTCCCCCACGACGACTATTTTAACCCAGTGCCACCCACCACCCACTACCGGCCACCGCCGCCTACATTGACCCCCATCGCTTATCAACACTGTCATCACCGGTCACCCTTCACCACCACCTGACTGGTCATCGTCTTGTTTGTAAACACTTCAACTTTCACCAAGCGATCAACAGACTCGTCTTCTCACCTCAACACTCCTCACCTCTCCTCAACACTCCTCCTCACCTCTTTCCTGCCACCTTCAATCATGTCCACCGGCAACTACTTCCAGCGCACGATGCCCACCTCCCCATCGGCTGCGGCCATCGAAGTGCGCAACCTCCACCTGACCTACGGCTCTCAGCTGAAGCCGGTGCCGGTGCTGAAGAGCCTCTCAATGGCCGTCCCTCGCGGCTCCATCTACGGCTTGCTGGGGGCGAGTGGCTGCGGCAAGACCTCCCTCATCCGCTGCATCCTCGGCACACTCAAGTTCAACGCCGGCGAGATCACCGTCTTCGGCGAGCGGCCCGGCTCGGCGGCCTCCTCCGTGCCGGGCGCCGGCGTCGGCTACATGCCCCAGGACATCACCCTCTACGAGGAGCTGACCACCGCGGAGACGCTCCGCTACTTTGGCTCCCTCTACGGCATGGCCCGTCCGGCCCTCAAGGAGCGATCCGCCTTCCTCGTCGACTTTCTCGATCTTCCCGACCCTCACCGGCTGATTCGCTACCTGAGCGGAGGCCAGCGTCGTCGGGTGTCGCTGGCCGCGGCGCTCATCCACCAGCCGCCGCTCCTGGTCCTCGATGAGCCCACCGTCGGCGTAGATCCCATTCTCCGGCAGAGGTAACGCGCACATATCACTCTTTTCACACCCTTTCTAATCCCTTCTCACTTTCTTTCATTTTTCTCTTCATCTCAGCATTTGGTCGCACCTGATTGAGCTAAGCGAGAAGAAGCAGCTGACGGTGCTCATCACCACGCACTACATCGAGGAGGCCCGGGACGCCCACCAGATTGGCCTGATGCGACACGGGCAGATGCTGGCGGCGGACAGTCCCAAAGGCATGCTCGCCCACTACGGCCTGCCCTCGCTGGAGGCCGTCTTTCTGCACCTGTGTACCAAGGCGGACGCCGACCGCGACCACGACCAAACTGGCCCTCAGGTTCTCGTCTCCAGTCTGGCGGCCTCAATGGCTCTGCCGCCGCCGCCGGGCAGTGACACCTCTGCCAGCAACAGCTCCTCTCGGCGAGGCTCTACGGCGTCCTCCTCCTCGGGCACCAGCAGCAGCGGCGTGGTCAGTCTGCCGGACAGCGATGGCAGCAAGTGCACCGCCATCGAGGTGTCCACCATTATGCCCGTGACCCACCCTCAACCGTCGCTGGCCTGCAAGTCCACCTCGGCGACCAAATCCTCACGACCCTCTCTCCGCCCAGGCCGCAAGTCCAAGTCCCAGTGCAAGTCCTCCGCCGCCTCCGTCTCCTGGTGCTCTCAGGTGGGCGCCATGCTGGTGAAGAACGTGACGGCGAACCGGCGCAACGCCACGCTGATGCTCTTCCAGTTCATGATGCCCACCATTCAGGTAATTCTCTTCTGCGCCTGCATCGGCCTCAATCTGCACTCCATTCCGGTGGCGGTGTACGACGGCGACCAGTCGCCCTTCTCCCAGCGCATCCTCGCCACCCTCAACTCGGAGGTGATCACCCAGACGGCGTACGACAGCCCCGAGGAAGCAGTGGGGGCGGTGCGCAACGGCTACGCCTCTACGGCGCTCACCATGTACGGCAACTTTAGCGACTACCTCTACGAGCGCGTACTGAGCATGGGCCTGGAGATTGCCCCCGAGGTGCTCTACAACTCCACCATTCACCTCCACCCGGACATGTCCAGTATGAGAGATTTGACCTTGTTTGCTTTTTGCTAACCGTTCTTTTTCTCCCTTTCCATCAGATCGGCTAATGGTGCTGGCCGTTCAGGAGGAGGTGACCACCGTCTTTCTGCGCGTCGGGCAGAGCTTCCTCGAGGAGAACGGCCTCAGTCCGGCCCTGCTTGAGATGCCCGTCCGCCTGGAGGCGCCCATCTACGGGCTGAAGAACTCGGTGTACCGCGACTACGCCGCCCCGGGCACCATTCTCTCCATTGCCTTCCTCAGCGCCATTCCCCTCACCGCCATGGTGCTGGTGGTCGAGCGGAAGCAGGGCCTCATTGAGCGGAGCATCGTCGCCGGCGCCAGCTACCTGCGCATTCTGGTCGCCCTCCTCCTTCCGCAGATTCTCATTCTCTTCGTCTCCTCGCTGTCGCTGCTCATCTTCGTCTTTCCCGTTTTTGGCGTCTCCTACCAGGGCCACTTTTCGCTGATCCTCCTGATGACCTTCCTGCAGAGCATCTCCGGCATGTGCTTCGGCGTGCTGGTGTCCACGCTGGCGAAGGACGAGAACTCGGCGACGATGCTCGCCCTCAGCTTCTTCTACCCCAATCTGATGCTCAGCGGGACGGTGTGGCCGGTGGAGGCGATGGCCAACTGGGTGCAGTCCATTGCGTACTACCTCCCGCAGACTCTGCCCATCAACGCCATGCGACTGATGGTCTCCCGCGGCTGGTCCATCTTCCGGGCAGAGGTCGTCTGCGGCTTTGCCGTCACCGCCTTCTGGAGCGTCCTCTTTCTGCTCGCATCGGCGCTCGCTTTTAAGCTGCGCAAGCTGTAAGCTCGCTCAGCTCCTTCCTTCCTTCTTTTCACTCCTTGAAAATGTGATTTTTTACCTCTTTTTATTTTATTATTTATCTTTATTTATTATTACTGTGGCGTATTGCTTTCAACCTTTCACTGTCGTATCTTGTCAAGTATTGCTTCTGTATTTTATTTCTTCTGTATTACCCCGATGTGTGCATAACTGACCAGTTTGTACTACTGCTGTGTGAGTTAACTTGCTAACTTGGTGTGTTAACTTTACATTTGTACTTGTTTTTCCATTCAAATTGTAGCTTTGAGATTGAGCACTGATTGTGTACTTTAACTTCTAACTGGTTGCTGAGCACTTTTTTACACAGAACAAAAATGCTGCACAGTTTATGAAAACAACAAAAAGTAACAAAGGTTTAGAAAAAATGACAAAAGAGGAAGAAATAGGGAGAGAGAGAAAATTTGTAATTGTGGCATTACATTGAGTCTAGATTAGTATAGTTTTATATAAAGTCTGATTAAGTTTCAACGTGGAATGATATTATTTTGAGACAACAGTAGTGAGTACGTTGGTGTTTGAATGGCAAGAAGATAGATAGAGGAAAGAAGAGAGGTTGCAGATAGAGGTGGTGTTTGCAATGGTGAGCTGACTGTTAGTCTGGAGTAGCTGCGGCTGCTGTGTTGAAGCTGCTGAAACGGTGTGTGTGTCATTTCCCTTTATCGGTACTCCTCCGCCGAGTACAGCCCCTTGGCCCGTCTGAGAATGGAGTCCTTGTTAGGGTCGTACGGCTGGTCTTTCGAGGGAATCTCCAGAATGGCGGGAATGGGGGCAGTGTGCGCGTCGATGAGGTGGCGAATCTGCTCGGCAATATTCTGATTGATCAGTATAATGTCGATGTCATCACGGCGGAGGAAGGCGGTAAAGTTGGCTTCAATCTCAGAAGGCAGGGTGTTCTTGTCAACGACCATGAAGTTGTGTGAGGGCTGCTTGGTGCGGTTCACCTCGCCGATGCCGCCCAGCAGAAAACCAACACAGGTGTCCTGAAATTGGAGACAAACAAACAAAAGATCAGCAAAACAGTTGGGAAAAGGTTGTGCAGTTTATTTTATTGATTTGTCTTGTTGTTGGGTAGTTGATTAAAGAACAAATCACACAATCAATACTATGTTGGGGCTTTTTATAGCCGGAAACTTACTTCGTCGCCAATGACGGCAATGAGCTTGCCCCTGGAACTGGCCATTGTGTACGCTGGATATGAGTGTTGAGGTTTTGCTGGTAATTCTGAGCTTCAAAGTTGAGTTAAGTGATGACAAAATGACAAAATCAAAATGCCCCAAACTTGCCGAGTGCTGTCTGCTGGTGGTGGTCTGCCCAGTGTGCTGGACCGCTGCCGTTGCTACTGCTGCTGCTGTTGTGAATTGAAAGAAAGGTCGATGTTGAGTGAGTGAGTGAGAAAGAGAGAGAAAGAAAAAAAGAGAAGGAGAAGGCAATCGAGCGATTGAGTGTGCGATGTGCGTGTGTGCAAAACACTTTGCTTACACACTGTGCACGGCATAACGCCTCTCGCTTTCTCTTTCTCGTCTTTAAACTGAAAGCGCTATCTGCTGCTGTGCAAGGCAACCTCCGTTCACCAGTCAGTGGCGGGGAAAGTGATCAACTTATAAGGGGATTTTCAATATGCATAGTAACCAATAAATATTTTATATGCCATTTACTTATTTGTGTTAACTAGGCAGCTAAGCAAATCGTTTTGTTTTCAAATATGATATTTTTGCAAAAAAGCGTCAAAAAAGTAGTAATGATATTTTTAAATGTTTGTTTACAATCGATATTGCAATTAAGACGTGTATAATTGCTACTGAATATTTTATACTTACAACTCTTGGAATATCTTGTTTATTCACTTTTGGTCATTACATTTATTGCTTTGATGTTATTACCGTTCTTGTTCACACTTTACTTTCTAGTGCTCAATCTATTAGCCTAGTACACTTAAACGGCTATATAATGTGTGCGCCATGTAAACTAAACAAACGTAGAATTAGAAAACAGCAAAGAAGAAAATCTGGTTGGATTGCTGCCGCCACCAAACCAAACCAACTGGGCACTACTCACTGAGGAAGTCGCTGCTCCAGAGCCAGAGCGTGCTCACAATGTGTACCGCTACAAGAGCAATACTTTGGGTGTCTTCACTACACAATGTCTGTCCTGTCCTGCAGTCTAAACACACATTGCGGCCTTTTTGGTGTCCGCATTGCATAGTCTTTTAGATGCGGCAAGTGAGTCGGGCACTCTCATTCACAGGCCCCGCTGAAACTTTTCTTACAGCTGTGTGACTGCCACATCAGCAGCAGCCGCCGCAACTCTCCAAACCGTCTGTGAGAAACCATTCTCTTCCTTTCTCCAAAATACCGCATCACATTGCAAAGACAACAGCTAGCTGCAGCGGCGAAAAACGTTTACAGACAGCCAAGAACGGCGGTTTTGTCGTTGCGGCCAGTGCCACTTCTATGTGCCTGGCGTGCACTCCAAACACACACACATAATCACCACATACCGTCCATTGGCAGCATCGCCACAGCACACATTATTAAACCAAGCATGGATGATGTTATCACTGGCAACAGCAGCAGCAGGACAACCACTACCATCGTCACCACCGCCACCATCATCATCAGCAACACCGCAAAAACATTCCTCCATNATGTGCCTGGCGTGCACTCCAAACACACACACATAATCACCACATACCGTCCATTGGCAGCATCGCCACAGCACACATTATTAAACCAAGCATGGATGATGTTATCACTGGCAACAGCAGCAGCAGGACAACCACTACCATCGTCACCACCGCCACCATCATCATCAGCAACACCGCAAAAACATTCCTCCATTGCTAAAGAAGTGTCAGTGGCTGCCGCTAAGCAGAAGCCACAGTGAAGTAAAGTCAACTTCTGCTTTGAACACTTTCGTTTTTCCGCACTTCTACCAACTATCGCACCAGCTTTGCGCAGTTGTGGCTGCCAACCGGTACGGCTTTTGGGTTTTATCAAAGAAACTGCAAAAAACACAGACTGTAACCAGCCGGCAGCTGAGTTCAGCAGAGAACAGGTGAACAGATTGCAAAAAAAAGTAAATAAACACTATCCACTAAACAAATGCAAAAGGGATAAAAGCTGGGCCGAAAAAGTGAACAAAACAAAACATGGGCGCGAAACTGGGTTTTTTTATTGCGGGAAAGCAGACAGACACAAAGGCTGACCCTTTGGTACTGTTTGTGTCAGCCCTTTTAATGTGTGTTTCCTTCTTCAAGACTGGTCAGTTCAGTGATGAACTCATTCGGCTGCACTTGTCTCTTTCACTGTGACACACTGTCAACAAACGCGCGCGCTCTCGCAGCCTGGCGCTAACTGATCACCCCAGCACTCACATGTTTTCTCTCTTTTTCCCTTCCCTGACCGTTGATCAGAGGGCAAGACTACTCTACTCTGATTAGTGCAGCACAGTACACCACCATCACACAAGCAAACAGACAGACAGACATGAGCACATTTTCACACTTGCTCACCTCTCTCTCTCTCTCTCTCTCTCTCTCTTTCACTGCGCACACTGCTTTTGGGTACTACCATTTTGACTACTTTCTTTTTCTTCTCTCCACACTTTCTCTTAATCAACACAACTCATTGACACTAGTTTATCACACTTTCTTTACTTTCATGTCACAAACAAATTAGTCGGCGCACAACCGTTTTCGACTGTAAAGTAGCTGTGATAGACTACAACAGCCAACTACTGAGCTGCTGAGCCGTCGCTATCAGTCATCCAGTTTCGCCAGCACTCCAGTCATCAGTGATGATGATGATACCGAGATCGAAGTGGCGACTTTTTACAACTACTTCGATGCTGCTGCTGATTCAGTAGTTAGCTGCACCGTCAGTATACCTCAACTGTCGCTCATATCATGGTGAAACGTACTGTAGCATCATCATCGGCAAGTAAGCAAACATGGAAAACTATCAACAACACAACACACGACTTCACCACATAGAGCTGGCCAATGCTTCTGCCATCCCGGAAGATTATCGCCATCATGTCGAGGATCACTTTCAGCTAGATCAGCCAAATGCACATGCCATCTCCAGCAGTTCCAACAACAAAAGCGACCAATTCACTATGGAACACTTTGGCAACTCAGCAGTGTTCACTAAAACCGAGCAACCAAACCAAGGCAGCAGCAGCAGCAGCAGTGTCCACTGCGCCGACATTTGGCAGATGGCCTCGCCGGCAGAGATGGCCGCCAAGTTGGCGTTGATGACACAGGCGCCGCGAATCTGCTTGGAACTACGAAACGAGGGCGTACTGCCGCTGCTGGTGCAGCTCCTTCACCAGCACTCCACCGAGGATGGCATGCTGGCCATAAACAACAATTCAGCACTAGAAAGTGGACAGCAGTACCCGCAGCCGACCAGTGAAACCTTCCGAAACACCTTGGCTTTGCGGCGAAACTCCGCCAAAGCGTTGCGCAACATTGTCACGCACACTTCAACGAACCGAAAAGAGGTGGAGTTGCTGTGTCTGCTGGAAGACCTGCGATCATTTGTGGAGATATTCTACCTCCGGTGGAGTGACAGCCCCGTGGAGGCAGTTGACCATCCGTGTTCGCAGTTGGCGGAGCTGTTCACCTTTGCCTGTGATGCAAACTACAGAAAGACTATCGAGCTCNGGACAGCAGTACCCGCAGCCGACCAGTGAAACCTTCCGAAACACCTTGGCTTTGCGGCGAAACTCCGCCAAAGCGTTGCGCAACATTGTCACGCACACTTCAACGAACCGAAAAGAGGTGGAGTTGCTGTGTTTGCTGGAAGACCTGCGATCATTTGTGGAGATATTCTACCTCCGGTGGAGTGACAGCCCCGTGGAGGCAGTTGACCATCCGTGTTCGCAGTTGGCGGAGCTGTTCACCTTTGCCTGTGATGCAAACTACAGAAAGACTATCGAGCTCTACGGTGGCGTCTATGTCATTTCTGATGTAAGTGTGATTGATTGCAAAATATTAGCAAAACGACATCTTTTTCATTTTTCTCATTGTTTGATCAATTGCAGGTGATTCAAAGTGATTTTCGTTTCCATCGTGCGGGCATCAACACCAGTGAACAGTGCTTCCTTCTGCGGCAGTACTCACTGAATGTGCTCACCTACATGACGGCCCAGAATGAGACTGTCAAGTCGGTGCTCGGCTCTATGCGGCCCTTCATTGGCATGCTTGTGAAANCTACGGTGGCGTCTATGTCATTTCTGATGTAAGTGTGATTGATTGCAAAATATTAGCAAAACGACATCTTTTTCATTTTTCTCATTGTTTGATCAATTGCAGGTGATTCAAAGTGATTTTCGTTTCCATCGTGCGGGCATCAACACCAGTGAACAGTGCTTCCTTCTGCGGCAGTACTCACTGAATGTGCTCACCTACATGACGGCCCAGAATGAGACTGTCAAGTCGGTGCTCGGCTCTATGCGGCCCTTCATTGGCATGCTTGTGAAAACGCTCCAGCAACAGGGGCCACAAACGGCTGCTCAACTTCAGGAACACAACAACAACCACCTGCAGCTGCTTCAGTCAGTGGCCAATGTGCTGCACAACCTCTCTTGGAAGTCAGACTTCAACAGCAAGCAGATAATGCGAGACTTTGGGACGGTACATCACTTGGCAAAGGTAACAACATTCACTTTGTCACTTTTAATTAACAATTTACCTTTTTTATTTATTTTTTAGATGGCCATGGAAACCAAAGACCTTAAAACGCTAAAGTCGCTTCTGGAGCCACTTCTCAACTTGACCGCACACTGCACGCCAAACAAAATTGACTTTTGCAAAGTTGCGGGCATGCTGGACTTTTTGATCTCTAAACTAAGAAGTACTACCAATACTTCCTTGTCCTCCAGTGTCACCTCTTCCGCATCTCAGCTTAGTCCAACGGAGTTGGCCATTGTAGAGAACAGCGGTGGCATTCTCCGAAACATCTCCTCCTATCTGGTCACACGGGAAGATCTCATTGAGAAGCTTCGCAGCCAAAACATTGTTGCCATACTGCTGGAGCAGCTAAAAGCAGCCTCTCTCGCCGTAGTCAGTAATGCCTGCATCACCCTCTCTTACCTGGCAGCTCGTTCACCCCAAGATGCGCTTAAGATAAAAGAACTGGGAGGAATACAAATCCTGCATGGCCTGACTAACTCAAAACACGAGCCCATCAAGTTGGGCGCCTCCAAAACGCTGCAACATTTGTTCACTTCTCACCTAAACAATTACAATGGCTCTTTTAAGGGTAAACATTGGTTTACATTTTGGTAACATTAACACAGTGTTTAATCTAAATTTAATCACTTTAGATACGCCAAAAATGTCTACATCTTGTTCAATTCCAAGTTCACTGCAGATGCGCAAGTTGAAAGCTTTTAGAACTGAAATACACAGCTTTCTCAGTGAAAACTTTGACACACTTCAGTGCGACGCAAGTCCCAATGGCAGCCCCAGTCACTGTTCGTTGCACAATCGCAATCCCAACTCTAAGGCATTCAACTTGAGTAAGTGCAAACAGTGATTTACAATCTACAAAAGTATGTTTTAAATACCATTTTTATTGATCAGATGACCACTCAACCGAGCCCAACCACTACCCGCCGGTGAACTACAAAGTAACTCGTTCGAGCAGTCACGACAGCATCGGCAGCACACAATCTGAACCGGTGAACAAGTCATCAATGCACCACCACCACCCTAACCATCACCATCACCATCACCGTCGGTCGATGCATCAGTCGTCTGCCACTGCCGATGACCACAAGAGCGCCGCCGCCGCGGCACTGCTCAATCTGACCAGCAAAAACAGCCCAAACTCAGCAGCGTACGACCATCAGCGAATGATACACTCATACTCGGGACAGACGCTGAACAGCTGCCTCTACGCGACACTGCCCGCCAGTGCTCGCATCAGTGCAATTGATGATGGCAATGGGGACTACTTGGCAATGGTAGAAAGTGTGATGATGGGCTCCGCTGCCGGTGGTGGTGACGCCGCTTCTGACTACGACATTAGCCTGTGCGACATTTCCGGCAGCTCACTTGCCTGTCTGGCGCCACTTCCGCCTCAAAAAGGACAAACCCAAATTAGCGGTAGTACCACCACAAAGACTAACAACAACAACAGCAGCAGCACGCCAGACTACATGGAAGAGGAGGAGCAGGAGTTGGAGGAAGGAGAGGAGGACCCGGCGCCGACTGACTACAGCCAGCGCTTTAAGGAGCTGGTCATCGACGACTTTGCACCGCCTCAGTCGGCCAGCAAGAGTGACGCCAGCGCCGGCGAGGACACTGTGAAGGTGTACCAGACGGAGAACACTCCGCTGGCCTTCAGCCTGGCGCCCTCACTCTCCGACCTGAGAGAGACTGCTCTGTTTGAACGCTTTGGTTCACTTCAACTGAACAGTAGTAAATCGATGCAAGATGATAAGTTGTTTAAGAAACCTTCTTTCTTAACTCCTAAACCATTACCGATAAAGTTCGCTTCCTCCTCTTCATCGACATCATACAATTGCAGCAAAATTCCGTACTCCATCAAGGAAGATGTTGCCACAGACTATGAGGGTGAGTACGCCAGCGAACGACAAAATCAACCAAAGAGCAGAACTGGTATTGCCAAGTCAATATCAAGTCATGAATCGCTAAAGTACTGTGGTCCAGTAAAAAAAGATGGCGAGTACACTGTTCGCAGCAGCTCGATGAGTGCAATAGCGTACAGCAGAGCATCCCCAGCAAACAATGTCATCTCCTCAAACAGTGTCACTCGGCAGGCCGATTCACTGGAACACTTTGCTGCCAAAGACAATGCGCAGCACTTTGCCACCGAGGATACACCGGCCGTCTTCTCGCACGCCACTAGTCTTAGTTCGTTGTCAATTGATGGTGACGATGATTTAGATGCTGACTTTGGCAACAGTGGACAGCAGAAGCAAAAACAGAAGCAGAAACAGAAAACATCTGTAGAATCAAACGCTACTAGTCAAACGGGTAGTGAAAATGTCACCTCAAAGTCTAGTCTCAACTCAGCAACCGCAGCAATTCACCAGAAAATTAGTCAACCTGGCAACAACAATAATAGCAGCAATGCTACTACTCAGCAGAAAAACTCGACTTTAGCGCCAGTGCAACTTCAATCGAATCAGTCGCCCCTGCATAAAATGTCATTATCGGTTTCCACTACAACTTGTGCAGCACTAGTGAAGGCCACTCCAGTTGCTGCTGCTAAACGAGCATCTAAAACGGAAACAACTCAGCACATGTCAATGTCGACAATGGGTCGACCTGCTCAACAGCAGTACAGCAGTGAAAAACAACAACAACAACAACAATACCCATCAATGCTTCCACCAAAAAAGCCTCTTCCTTCGATACCGGCAGGCGAATCCCCTTTACTACCAAAAAGTACTTCTGCACTACCAATCGATGACGAAGACGATGACTATGATGATTTCCTATTTAAATGTCGTCAAGTAGTCATGCCTAAGGAAACACAAGTGAAACTTAAAATGCCAGCAAAAATAACTAGCACTGCTAAAGTTACTGCTTCTCAAAACGATGCAAAGCAAAGCAGTGCAAATTACAAAAACACGCGTGGGCAACCAATATCATCAGTTCATCAAACAGGAATTTCTAGTCAAATCAACTTAAAACAATCGCCAAACACTCGAAATGCTGGTAAAGTTGATGCAAAAAGCAAAAATAATAGTAGTTCAGGTGTACTGAAAAACACAATACCAAATGCAAAACAACCAAAACAGCAATCGAGTAAAGCAAGTAACACTATCAAAAATGCCGTTGCAGAACTGAGCGACACTGATGAGGATGACGATCTTCTGCTGAATCAGTGCATGCAAATAGCCATCAACAAACAAAGTCACAGCCACTCTAAGTCATCTTCAAAGAAAGCCAATGTACGGCATTCAAATTCCTCCAATCGAGAGGGCAAGTCTCCCTGGCAAATAAACAAAAAGAATGCCCCATCGGCAACTGTTTCCGAAAAAATAAGTCAGCATCACATTGCACAAGAGATAATAAAGTTGCCTCCCAATGAGCCATCACCGGTTGAGCGAGAAAAACACTTCCACGTTGAGGACACACCAGTGCATTTCTCGCAACGTCACTCGCCACTTAGTTTACTCTTAGTCGACTCAGACATTGAAAATGAAAACGACAAACTGATTGAAGCGGCGGCTCAGCTGGACGCAGCTTCTCAAGAGAAAACCCAAATTTGGGTGCACCACACCTCAAGACAACAGGAAATGTCTGAAACGGAATCAGAGTCGGCGACAGTAACACTAACCAGCAACAATGCAGCCGCAGCAGCAAATTCAACTTCACAATCTTCATCATCTACGCATGTACGCAGCAGTGGTAAGGCAACTCAAGCACGGTCATCATCGTCCACGTCGTCTTTGGAACAGCAACGTCAAATTTTACCAGGAATTACCTGCCAGCGTGGAAACAGCACTAAACAGAACACAAACGCTGGCAACGACAACGCCCGTAACCAACAGCGACCGTCGGTTACCAGCCACACCAACAAAAACAGTAGTATTAAGGCAAGGAGGAAAAAAACCGATATTATTGCGGAACAGGCAAACAACCTAACGGGTAGTGGTAGTGGCGGCAGCACCTCTCACCGAACACCGGACACTGGCGACAGCAGCAGCAAACAACAGCAACACTTCTCCTCACTGGAAAATGCCGCTGATGACGACGACGACGACGAACGGACATACACCATTTGCACGCAAAGTAAGTAGTAGTAACGGTAGTGGTTATTGTTTGTCTGTAGCAATTAAATGTGGGAGAAGTAGCTTCTGTTCCTTTGGATCATATGACAGACGACTCAAGTGTGTGTGTGTGTGTGTGTGTATGACTAAAACTCTGGTGAAGCTAGCCTTACCCAGTCATTAGCAAACTGACACTGTGCGGTAATGGCCAACCTTATTTATCAAGCTGAAACTCGATTAATTCTTGACGGCTAAATTGTACAGTTCTCTAATTCAATTGTGCTATTAGTATGTGCAGTAACCAGCAGTGCTATCAATTGTTTACTTGGTTTTCCTTTTCTTTACCATTGTTCTTCTTTGTATACAGGTTCTCGACACTCGAGTGCGACTTTAACTGCCGCTGCTCTGACTAGCAATCAACCGGCACCTTTGGTCATGTCAACCTACTCCTCCTCCTCCCCGTCTGGATCGGTGACCAACATTGAGGGAGAGAATCCTCCCTCGCTGGTTTACGACCACAATTTGATGTTCAGCAGCACGGAGACAAACATGACTCGCAGTGGACTGAAGTTCATTCCTCTGGCTCAGCCTACAACAACTGCAACATCAGCCCCTCGAGCCACTTCTGCGCGAACCAGACGGACAACAGCATCAGGAGGAGCTTTAGGTCATGAGCTGCAGGTTTCTGCGTATGGCCATCCGCCAAATGTTTCACTTGAGGAACTGGCACACAACTCTGCAGCCAGCCTGTTGGAGAACCAAAAACCGCCCTCTATTATGGAGCACTCCTCCTTCATGTCGCAGAGCACTGCGAGCATCACCTCGGAGATATCGGACATTGCCCTCGACCAGGTGCCCATTCGCCAGGCCTCCACTGACTTGGTGGTAGCTGAGGTGGCCTCAAACTACGCCAAGGAGATCTCCAATTTGGCCGAGCAGGCACTGTGCTTCACTTCACCTGGCACACTGCAGACAATGTCACTGGACGAAACGCCGTTGTCACTGTCGCCGCTGTCGTCACCCACTGCTGACAACAGCAACAGCAAAAGACTGGCTGAAATAAAACCTACCAACCCCAATGACCTTCATCATCAGTTTGAACAGCAGCAGTTTAGGTCTGACCGAACATTCGACATGGAGCCGTCGCCAACGCCTCGCACTGCCACTCAGAACTCCTCACATAGAACATCAACAACAAACACTGGCACGACAACGGTCACAGTAGAGCGAACATCCTCCAATACTCGCACCTACAATAAAAAGGACCGGACTAAGGGCACCAACAACACCACTGAGCAAACATTGAAATCTTCAGGCAGCAATACCGGTAAAGGAGTGAACGCTGCCAATGCAGACGACTCCGACACTGACATTTCAGAGAATTTGCCGCTTGATGACGTACAGACAAAAGAGCTTAACTTTTACGTTTCTTCTCCGACCACAACTAAAAGTTTTCCATCACAACAGCAGTTTTTGCCCAACAATCCAATAGACTCTTCAAAAGCTAGAAACAAAAAGCCACCGCCAGCCCCTCGTTATAAGTCACGCTCAGCAAAACATCAGCATGTTCCCGCCAGCTTTGAGCTGACTGATGATGATGATTCCAGTGATGATGATGATCGTCTGCACTTCGGATACAGTCGATCACTGAACAGCAAACGGGTGACACGTTCATTGCGCAAAAACTCTAAAACCTCTGAACCGGTTGGTTTTCCGCGATTTGAATCCTTTAGCTCGGCGATGCGCCCGGAAAATCAGCAAACGGATCCGTACTCTAACCACCATCAAATGGCGTTTAGCTCTCTTGGTCGACGATCTTACTCATCTAGTAGAACTAAAAAGGAAAAAGATTTTGGGGACAAAGATCTTTTTTTTACTGCAAAACACAAAAACACTGTTGCTGAAAATCATGCACAATTTTTTCAGAGTAAATCAAATACACCACAATCAGGTGTCACATCTGCATCAAAGTACTTTGATCGTCATGCAGCTGTCCTAGGCTCAATGGAAAACGAAAACCACTTTCAAATAGAAAATCAAGCGCCAAATGCCATTGAATCAGCAATTCCAACTCTAATACCAACGTCAAAACGGTCAAACAGCAGTGACATTAGAAAACCAAAGGAAAACAACAAAAGCTCAAACAAAGAAAAGAAAAAAGAATCATCAATTTTTTCCAAAATTAGCTCATCATTTTCGTCGCACAACATTGGCTCGCATTCAGTTAATTCCGGCGAATCAACGCCCACAACTCCAACCACGCCAACTTCAACTAAAACGTCATTTAATAAAATAAACTCAAAGTTTGCATTACTTTTTAAACGAAGCAAAAGCTCTCATGACAAACTAGACCAAGAAGCTTTGCCAGCAAACTCACCCAAAAATACCAAAACTTCAAAAACAGACAAAAATCGGTAATTACATAGCAAACTGACTATTTTTACTTTAAATAAAAACTTTTTTTTCCATTTTATAACAGATCAGACAATAAAACTGACAAAGTTTCGGACTCCAATCAAAATCAAGCCGGTTTGCCGCGCAGTTCAACCTACGAAAAGTTGCCTGTCAATGAAGAGGAAGCAGCTCAACTGAGCTCTCGTCAACTTAAAAATAACAGCAGCAGCAACAACAACAACACTAACAATACTGATTGCCAATTTGTTGTTCAAGAAAGAGGGTTTGCTGAGAAACACTTTTACCGGTTCACTGTGTCACCAGTGAATAGTCAACTTTCACTCACCGAAAACACTTCACTGTTTGGCAACTCAAGTAAGCAAACGGAAATGAGCCCAACACAACAGCCGCCCAATCAGTTTACCTTTACCACTTTTGTAAAGGCGCCTTCCAGCAAAATTTGCTCATCATCAGGTGAATCGGTTTCTACGCAAGCTTTGGCAGAAAACCAATTGCGCAGAGAAGCTGATCCTGTTTATCAGCACCAGTACAGCCAGCAACCTAAACAACAACAAAAAAATGCCACACTCAACTCTGATATCGTAAGAGTGTCCTCTGATCAAATTGCTGCTGCAGCTTCAGTTGACCCCCTGGCGGAGGCAAACACTTCAACCATTTCCTTGGTGGACTCGTCCTCAAAGCAGCAATCTCGCAAAACATGCCTTGTGACAATTGTTTAAAATGCTGTGAGCAGAGCACTTCAGTACTTTCCGCCTTACTTAGCACCATTTTCTGTGTTTTTCTCTTTCTTCAATGCTCTACATTTGGTGATAACGATGCATTTGTTTCTTATCAAACCTTATCATTGCCTTGTACACGCCCTAATGCCACTTTTATACCATTTTCCATTTGCAAATCAACTTTTTTGTTTACATTGCTGCATTTTTTCTGTGTTGTGTTATCAGCACCTTCCAACGCTCCAAAAGCTACAGCAATACACATACTGTGGTTTTTCAACATTCATTCATTCATTCTTTAGCTTTCAAAAAGATCTAGTTTTTTGTTATTTTATTCCTCCTCTTCCTTCCTACGCAATGTCATGTCTGACGAGATCGTAGCTCGGCGCAAAGCACTTGTAGACGAAGAAGGCCAACATGAGCAGCGTGATGAGGCCCACCGAGGCGAGCATGTGGTAGAGAAAGGAGTTGGTGCTGTTCATGGAGAGCGAGCTGGTGGCCACCAGCGGCCGACTGACCACCGACTGGCGGTCGTCGTGCTCAATGGCATTTGGCGCCAGCTTCACGCACTTGCAGCGGGTGTGATTGACGAAAGGCAGCGACTCGGTCAGCGTGGTGAAGTTCTGCTTGGGCGTCTTCAGGCGAGGCGTCAGTCGGTGGCCGGTCACCCGCTGGCCGTGAATGGTTAGGTGATTCACGAAGAAGACCTTTTCCACGTCGGCCACCGCATCCGGGCGGCAGACTTCGCCGGTGTTCGGGCAGCAGCCGGTCTGGTCGGAGCACCGGTGCAGCAACTGTATAAATGAGGTATACAAAATGTACAATTGGTGCAAATTGTAAAAACACAAAATTAAACAAATTGTAGCTTACAGTGCCTCGAGGGTAGTAGATTTTATTGTTTGTCGCCTGCGGGTAGACAATGACTGGGCGTGGGTCACGGCACATGCCAGCCGTGTTCATCAGGTTGACGTGCAGTATGGCCCGGTCCTGCATCACCATTCGGTGCTCACTGGCCGCATTTTGAGGTGCCTTTGCTCCGTTGACTGTAAAAATAAACAAAAGTAAAATGTCCAGTGATGACCACCAAATGGCCACTGATGGACGAAATGCTGCTGCTGTCGTCTGCATGCTATGGTATTGCATACGGTATAAAAATAGAAAACAGAGAGAAAACAAATCACGTTGACTGTAACAAAAATAGAGTTGGTTGTCGAGTAAAAATGGTATTGTGGTGATGGATGATATGAATACCAACAAAATTTTTTTGAATTTTTTTGGGTGTTTTATTGAGCTTCAAATCGTCGTTGGCAATTGGCAATTGGAACAAGTAGTTCAGAATGCAGTTGGCTGCTCCACTGAATAGTGCCAAAAGGATACATCATATGGCAAGTGGCTTTTTGCATGCACACCGCTTGATGCCACTGGATATCACTTGTCACTACTTACAGTTTTCACTGCGCTAATGTATGCAGATTGTTCACAGTCTTATTGAGCATTTTCTATTCTTTTTTATGTTACTAGAACTAAAGTTTGCGCCAGCACAAAACTTTGTCATCAACCAAAAAGTAATAACAAAAAATAAAGCAACAGCAGCGTCTGGGCAAAGTGAGCTTTCTGATAAGCTTGCAAAGTGCAACTAAAAGTTGATATGACGTTGATTGATAGACGAAACACAATTTTTCAAAATAATACAAAAAGTAAAATGCATTTTAACCTTATTTTAAGTTTTGAAAAGTGCGTTTGCGTTAATTCAGTTACAAAAAATAAAAAAATTGAAAAAAAAATTGTTCACATTTGTTTAGTTTTTGTCTGTTGTGCCAACAAAAATAGATAATTGTGATAACTGGAAAAACAATTTATTGTGACAGTGTGTTGTAGTACTGGTGACACTAAAGATGGAACTCGTTAAAATTTGTGCAAACTGAACAAGCAGATTGAGCAGAACAGATCACTAACAAGTTGTTTGACCAGTATTTAAAAACTTACTAAACCTGACCGACAGCCAACACACTGAACTAAAGCTTACTATTACCAATACAAGTGCAAGTTTAATTAATTCAAAATGGCTAAACTAAAATGAAACAAATTAGTTACTATTCAAATAATTGTTTAAAATATTTACCAGTTGAAACAAATTAAATACAAAATAACACATAGTCATCTTGTTCAAAAATTTGGATTAGACTTTAACATTTTCACACAAAATTGAAAAATAGTTATAATTTTTGAAATAAAAAAATGTAAAAAAATACTTTTTTTAAACAAAACGATTTGTTAAAAAATCATGATTTTATGAAATGTTTTATTTACTTTATTGTTAGTCAAGAATTGCTTAGTAATTTTTCTTTAAACTAATTTTGTTGCTTAATTAATTTTTTTATTGATTTTAAAACCAATAATAACTGAAATGTGATATCATTTTAGATTTCTTCCTCTTCCATCAGTGTTATCCTTTTTTCAGTACTACTTTTACTAACTTTTTTGCTGCTTTTAAAGTAATTGGCGCACTATGCACTTTTATCAACAAGCTTTTATTGTTATTATTAGTGTTAAGTAACATGAGTTAAATAAAATACATTGATATAGAGCATTCAAAAAAATTATTGCATAAAATCAATCACTGTGTTTTTGTTGAAAAAATTTCATAAATACTGAAAGAATAAACTAAAAAAGTTTTAAACAAAAAAATTTACAAATTTGTTTGACAATTTGGAAACTAATTAGTGTTTATTTGACAATTATTTGTTTTTTAAATAAATCTTTTATAACAATTTGTTCTTTTGCTTTAAAGATAACAAAAAATGAAAATACAGGTACAAGTAAATAAAAACAATTAAATTGAAAGTACATTTTGAATACACACTAAAGCTAATAAGGAAATACTAGCATTTGTTTGGCAAGGTACTAGTAGTCAACGTGCAAATAACCACAAAAAATGCCAAGTGGGGAAAACAAAATACATTAAGTGTGCAGATTAAATCTATTTGTAGGGTTTTCTACTGTTGTTTCTTTACTGGTGCTGGTGCGAGTTGTCTACGTGAAAAAAGCACTTTATTCGAGAGAAGTGCCTTTTCAGCGTCTAATACCCGTTTGAACTTGTGATGCAAATTGGCAATTCGGCGGTAGTTTTGCTGCCACAACTTCAATGAAACGTGCTCACTTGAAAGCTGTAGCTGCATAAAAGAATTTGTTTGAAAAATGCAGAAAAAAGAAGGGGTTAAATAAAGTAAAAAAACAAAAAAATTGTCACAAAAAATAAATGAGCAGTAGCAAAAACCAAAGCAACTGCCATGAGCTTATTTGCTGACGCAAAAGTTGGTCAAAAAGAAGCAAGCTAGTCAAGTGGATGTTTACAATAAGTATTTTTAGAAAATCCGAAAAAAATAAAGTTAGAGACCGGAGGGAGTAACACACGGGCACACAATAAAACATTTGGGACTAATTTAAATTAAAGAGTACATGCTTAAATAAGTAGAAAACACTTGCACAATCATTTGAAGCTCTAAAACGGTGAAAGGGATGAACAAAAAGTTGAGACAAAGAGGAAAAAGGAGAAAAACTGCAAAGAGAAAGTACTGATGAGATTTGGTCACCAATTCACCAAACAAGAGAAAGAAAATGAATGCATATTCTCAGAGAAACATCAAATGGCTGTAAACATTTTGTTTTGTTTGACAAAAAAAGTTGTGAATCAAATTGAAGTTTAGCTGTACTGCTTTTGAAGTGAGTCTTGGGACAATAGAAAAATAAATAAATGCAACCAAATAGAAAAAAGGAAGAAAATGATATAGTGCACAGAGTGCTCAATCAAACTGAGGACGTTTACGTTGAGTGAGTTGGGTGATGCGGTTTTGCGGTAACCAACAACAAATGGAAGAACTGTTGAAATGAAAAGTTATCAGTTGGACATGGGCAGTTTGTACCAGATCAAAAATGTTCAGGCTCGTATTTCAGTGAAATAAAATTACGTTCGCTTTGCAGTGGTGCACGACTTTGCAGTTGCATGAGAAGGTTTGTTTTGTTTCGGTTGGCAGCAGAAAAGCTTATTTTGAGTAGCCTACTCTACGACCCTAGGTTTTCATTCGACGCACTTGTTGCCCATCAGTAGCCCGACTGACCGGCGTACTGACTGTACTGGCCTGCTTGCTGTTGCTGCTGTTGTTGTTGTAGTTGTTGCTGCTGTTGCTGTCCCATTTGGCCCATCTGGCCCATTTGGCTCATCTGTCCCATCGGATCCATTTGGCCTATTTGTCCTTGCTGTGCCATTCCAGGCTGCTGGTTGATGCCCGGGTAGGTGCCCAGTGGCTGCGGCTGCAGCGTCTTTCGGTGAAACATGGTCTCCTTGTAGACGAACCACATTGAGGAGCCCCAGAGGAAGAGGTTGGCAAAGCCAAAAATCTGTTTGTTAGCAAAAAAGAAAAAAAGAACAAAGTTTTAGACAACAAGCAAACCAAAAAGTACTTTTTTAATTGTTGCAAACCAAAAACCCTTACCAGTGAAATGTACAACGTCGACCACTTTCCCGGACTCTCCGGAAAGCAGTTGTAGGTGAAGTCGGCCACCGTTTTGTTGCAGTTCGCCAGCTGGTCGATCAGGTGGCGCGGCCCGGTGTAGTGCTTAATGTCGGAGACGTTGGTCGCCCAGGCTGAGGCGCCGGCCAGCCAAAAGATGGCGAAGATGCCGGTGACCAGCAGGTCGACCACGGGAAAGAACGGATTCGTCTCGTAGTACTGCGCCTGGGCGACGTACACAAACTCCGAGCCAATGGTGTAGAGGAAGCAGAGGACGCCCGTGGCGACGAAAAACTGCGCCGAGGAGGAGAAGTCAATTGGAAGCTTCTTCGTGGCCACCTCGTCCTCGTCGCA